CGCCTGCGACTTGCAAACGCATGGTTTACCGCAAGACTTGTACTGTTCTCTTGGCTTTTCACGCACTCCGCTTATGGTTTCGCTTCGGAGCCGACATAGAAATTCGGAGAGAGAAAGCGCTTGAAGAAGCTGAGCTAAGGCAGGTCGTGGTCGTGCTTGTGTGAGCTTCTGCTGGAACCGCTGCTGGACAGGGGGCAGTGAATTCGAAAGCAGCTGCCTCCAGCCCCTTTGACTCCGTCGTCCTACCAATGGGCTCCTGAGCTGAAGTCAGAATCAGACTGCAGTCTGCTTCTTAGGAACGTACGAGGACGGGCTTGCGGGGGTGCGGGCAGTGGAGTCTTGAAAGACTGTGGTATCAGAGACTCAAACACAGAGGTTCAGTCCGGGAGCTGAGATTGGAGGGATCGCAGGTGCCTGCTATGCTTTCTCTCTTGCTATCAAGTGGCAAAGAGGGGCGCAAACGTACAAGTGAGCTGAGAATGAAAGTCACAGGAGGTGCCGAGAAAGAAGTCAGGGAGAAGTGGATGCGGTGAGCCGTACACGTTAGCGTCGAGTCGTCGCGACCGCTGACTGCTGCCGCTGTGCTAGCTGGCATGCCGCAATGACTATGTGGGACACAAAGCTAAGAGTAACCAGGCCGAGGTCTAGCTAGCATCACTTATGGGATGATCGACCAACCGACTGTCTATCTGTCCGACAGCTGAGTGAGTTGCTAACAGCCAGGTTCTACAATGATCGTGACTAGCTTAAGCTGACCGCCGCCTGCAAACGTCCGTATTACCTCTCCTTTCATTCGTTCTGACCGCGAGCGATACCTAATTTAAGATCATAGTTGTTATCGTCGGTCTATGTGTATTCGTTTGTAATTAGTACGCGCAAATACAAAAATAACACAATTCAGAAACGCGATTCGAATGGAAAAAAAAAAATATATATATATATATATATATATATATATATATATATATATATACTATTTCTCAGTAAAAAAGCAGCTGATACGCTTTGCTGTTTGAAACCTGGCTAATTTTTTTTTTTTTTAATCGATTTCTAAGCTCCGTAGAACGCGGTTATGGTCACAATTCAAATCGAGATAGCACGGAACTTGCTCGGCAGTTTATTACTATTTTTTGTGTAAAATAAATTTGTGCCATTCTTTTAATGCTGCCTGCCCATTGCGCAAAACACATCGGGACAAGAAAGAGCGTAGAATTCTAAATTACTAATTAATTTTTCTTTTTCCTGATAAAAAAGGTTGTATGAGAAAACCCCCCAGTGAGGCCAGGTTTAACGGGGCCAGGGAAAACAATACACAACGCGTCGTCTGCAGGAAGAGTCATTAATATTTGGATACATCCGCGCGTTCGTGCAGCAGCCAGACGGGTAAGCGGCTGGCGGCTGTCTTATCTCGAAGGCTAAACGTAAAATAGAGAGTTCTAGCGAGATAACGGTGGAACAGCTGGCTGTTCTCTGACTGGTGTCGATTCGCGCGACTACAGAGAGCCACACACAAGGGGAACGCTGTTACCGAACAGCGTGTTTTACGCAACAAAAGGCAAACAAACAGCAAAACTCGTGCTCGCACGAAAAGAAAAAGATAGAGAGTGTCAGAAATTCATAGAAAACACCGACAAGGAAGAGATGCGCTTACAGACTGCTACACCCGAAAACTAAACAGTTTTCATTTACTTGGAGCGGCTGAGCGAGCGGGTCAGAGAACGACAGGACCAGGGGGCGCGGACTGAAACATGTAAGGTATGTTTTGCCCCTCGGACGACGTTGCAAGCGTTGGCTTGCTCATTCCTCGCTTCATAACGAAGTTAAGCGCTTTTCCTGTTCGTACTGCGGCTAGTGCGAGTTGCCGCAGTCTACGTAGTCCGTAATACTGCTGCATGTACGTATACCAAAGGATTGTGTTAGCGTATGTACGTACAGCTCCGCGAATAAATTGCTTGTCGCCAAGCCGTACTACCAATGTCCTAGGCTCATTGTGCCATACCGCCGAGCGACGAATCCAGACGAACCGTCAAAGTGCGCACAGATCGTGCTAGCGTTGATGTAATGCAAAATCACAGATAGTTCTGTATCGTAATCATCGAGATCATTACCTTCTCTCGAAAATCCACACTGGAGGCGTGAATCTTTTAAGTTATCGACTTCTCTTTAATGCATAATGTTTCTGTATACTGTACCTAAAGCTGCATTACTATAGCACGTATACTATTTATCTATTTCCATTGAATTAAACCTGAATGGGGACACAAATCATCTTATTGAATTTTTCTATTCTCTTTTGACAATTCGAAGCTTCGAGAAGATTGTGAACTGCCCAACCATCGGTACGGAGACGCTTAGATGATACCAATGTCTGTGGCTCTCTCGAAAGGATAGTAGGCGGTGAAATGTTAGTGGCACCGGCACTTCCTGTAAATGTTGTCAGTATCGGCTGTCGGTGCTTACTAGTGCTGTTGCTGTTTCAGCTGTCACACTAGTGCCGGCAGTTGATGGTGTTAAGGATACGGGGAAAGGGCGGCGCATGGAAGTGTGCTATGGGGATGGGTATGTCATAGGGTCTGAACCGAGAAGGGACTTTGCCCTGCAGCGCAGAGCTGGCCTTAATCATAAACACACAACAACAACAACACTACACGCGAAGAACGAGGAGGCCACAGCACCAGCGGTAGAATCAAGCGAATCAACCTAAATGCTACGGCAGGAATCGTGTTGCGTTTCCGCCATCAGCGGAAGTTGCCTGTTCCCTCGAATGGCATCATGGATGGAACAGCCACAACGAGTCAAGCGACCGGCATTTAACGCCATTGGGCTAACGCAGGAGTAGCAGAATCCGAAGAACTGAACCGGGCTGCTCAGCTCGCTTTCGCTTGTAACATTCACTTGTATTTGTGCTGGGGCTAAAACGCTGCTAGCTGGCCTCAGCCTGACTGCTCGCAGGGGCTGCCAAGCAGCAGCAACAGTATCATAGGCCGTAACAGCAGCTTCCATGACCCAACCAACTCATCTGAACGAGCTCAACGGATCGAGCTGTATGCATGCAGCTTTGGCGTTGCTGATGGTGGCGGCCCCTTTGGCTGGTGGCTGACGGTGGATGTGCCGCTAACTGATTCCTAGCTGCATCAACGAGTTATATGGTAGTATATAGTGCACATGACGTCGACGGGTCCGCCAGTTTTCCCCGACCTCTGTATTTCTCTCATACGTTCTCGTTTTCACTCTCCCTGTACCAACCCTTTTTTCTTACTTTCCTTCCGCGCTCCTCCCGCTCTCTCTTCTCGCACCCCTTTCCCCTATCAATGGGTAAACAGCACAGACAGCAGTAGCACTAGCAACTGCAGCATAGCAAATTATCGGCTCACGCGCTCGTTCTGCCCTGCCGTCACATTACTGCTAGTGCTGCTGGGCCGCAGACTAACCTCTCTTAACCCCTGCTCCGGCTGCCGCTATCCACTATCCGGCCGACCCAAGTCCCGACAGGAGCCCATCGGGCCACCTTCGGACGTGGTAACCCCTTTCCCTGCGTAAATACGAGGTACTGCTAGCAGTGTTCGCTTCCGGCAAGCGTGGGCAAAAGCAGCAAACAGATCCTGGCTGGCTCAGGCTCGGGAACGGGAATCCACACTACCGCCTACACGATTCGTCGTCCCTCTAACTCGATGCATCGGCTCTAGGCTCGTAAGGCTTGGCTGCCTGTTTCCATGTGCTTACTGCGTATTGGGCCTTGTGCTGCTTTGTAAAGCGTGTTCTGGCTTGTGCTGCATACGGAGTCGCGGAATCGGTGATCGCAGTCGGACGGTTACAGGTCCGCCGGCAAAAGAAGCTGCAACATGCTCGCTGACGCCGTTATCACGATCGGCTCTTTCCGTCCTCTGTTACTGTGTCCCCAGCTTGATCCACCGACTAACATGCTCCACTTCTCTCACCAATGCGGAGAACCAGCGTTGCATCGTGTCTTGCATTGTTTAGCGAGCGAAGACGCAGGGGACAAGAATCAGAAGCCAGCAGCAGGACCAGCAACGGAACGAGGCCAAGAAGCACCGACTAAAGGACAACAAGGTACTCAGCAGGACATCCACACGGGAGTATAATATCCCTGCTACTGTTGCCGCCGCTGCTGGTGGTCATGGTATTATCAATGAGGAGTTCACTTACTCTCTTGCTAGCTTGCTTAGATGCTTACTATTGTGTGCCGAACGAACGATAGTTGCCACTCATCGCCTTGATTTGTTACTATCTTAGATTTCCGGGATTATCCCGAAGCGGATTCGACCCGATCAGAAAAGTGCGTTCCCCAACAGGCAACCTCTTGTTGCCGTTGCTACTATGTACTAGGCCAATAGTGCCTCTTTCCGCTGAAGATCTCATCCCGATCAGATATCTGTCTCCCATAGACGACGTGCATTTATTAATGCATGATGAGACACAACTAAAACAAACAAGGTCAGCTAATTGGTAAAAACAGTTCGCATTTACCACCCGACTACGGGTGTAGACTAAAACAGTATAGTGGTTAATGAGGCAAAATAGATAGATAAGTATCAGTTAAACAAAATCGCGAGATGATTTCAATTACGTCAGTACGCTATAGACGAATCCGCGCATTACAGCTACGGAAAAGAGGCTGACGCTAAAAACACTAGCTGGGCACACTTGTCCCTAGAGTAGTAGGTAATTACTTGGGGTACGTATTCTACTTTGGACCTGGCTTTTATTCGTGTAACGTGGGGCTTCTTGCTTGTTAATCATCTTCTGCTTGTGTCGGATTACGTTATTAGTGTGGGTAAAAGGCCGCGAATTATCAGCTGGGGTAGTGGTAGGGTCTATAATAGACACAATTATTGTAAAAACGTGGCAAATCGACAGGAGCATCTGCAGCATTTATATTTTGCAAAAGGTAACGTTCTACGGTGCCAAGTGAAATTTTCATTGGCTACTAATATTTATAAACATATACCGAAAAATTAATAATCACTTTAAAGTTATTATAATTTAGATACTTTATTGGCACTAATGCGATTATTTAGTTTCAGTCTAGATATATATATATATGCCTTATGCCGCGCTCGATATATGTGATACGTAAGGGATTGTAGTTATTTTTGATTTAGGATACATTCGTTTTCAAACGCTTCATAAACGACCGAATTTTCGCTTCGTCTAGCAAGCCGGTCCAGTGGCCGTTCTGTTTAAAATGTGAGCCCACTATAACACCATGACAGGCCTTAGTCAGTCTAGTAACGTTATCGGCAGTGACGCCAGATCCAAGAATTACAGGTTGATGAGGCACGGCAAGAGCGACCTCACCTATGTCTCGTTCATTGGGTTCTGCTCCTGTAGAGTTTCCAGTCACAATTAAGCCATCCGCTAAAAAAAAATCGGCATTGCGTGCCATGTCAGCAATCGACACATCGGCGGTGATAGCATGAGCGGAATGTTTCTTTTTAATATCACAGAAGATCGCCACGTTCTCGGCAAAACATTCTAGCGATTTACGGTATCGAAGCAGATCACCAGCGCAAGCATTGATCAGGCCTTCATCGGCAAAATGGCTAAATACAAAACCTTCAGCACGTATAAAATTGAAATTTGTCGCGGCCGCTACAGCTAAAGCGGCTCGATTGTTAGCCGCTAGAATTTGTACTCCGCAAGCCAAATTAGGTCCCACCGTTTCACGAACGCTTTGGCATACACGGGTCATGCAAGCCGTTATCGCAGGACATTCATTCAGTGTATACGGCGTATCGTGCATGTTCTCCACAAGCACTCCGTCGACCTCACAATCACGATAGAGCCGGGCCTCGTCAATACTATGTTCCACAATCTCGTTGATAGCGCTGTTGTTCAACGGAGAACCTGGCAACGCCTTGACATGTATCATTCCAATGACGGCGCATCTGGTCATGTTTCCGAACAGCTTTCGAAAACGTGTCAGAGCGGTTGATGCAGGGCGTGTCATTGCCGCCTGCTTTCGGAAACACTTGTTTGACGTTTAGTGGTATTTGGTAGAGTAGAATTGACTGGATGGGCAACGAGCTGTCGACGCGAAGCGGTCTATTACAAAATCCCTTTGCCCCCTTTCCTCCGGCCTGTAGCAGGCAGCCAGCCAGCCAGCGACACCGTAAGTGTGAATACGGCTGGCGATTGAGGAGGGAGAGAACAGAAAGATGGTAAGGGTGATAATGACTGATAGAGCGTAGTAGGCTTCTAATACCGAGATAGGGATAGATTGATCATAGAAAGTAATAGAATCACTCCGTTGCGAATTAAATAGGTTTAATGCTCATTTATGTATACGCAGCTTATAATTATAACTAGTGGTTACGCTAGCGATTAAGGTGTTTACAATGGAGTGGAAGCCACAATACTATGATTATGACCGAAACGCTTGTGGCTAGGATTTACCAGCTTTTCAATTCGAATCAAATGATGACAGGTCATAAGAACAATATATTGAAAAGAACGTTTTTGCCCCATACCGAACTCGGCAACCCCTTCAGTTCTCTATGGCTGTACCTGGCTGGCCCTAAAACGCCTTAAATGAAAAGCGCTTACCAAAGCATTCCGAAAATGCGACAATTAACCAGGTACAGGACGAACCAGGATAAGGAAAACATGGCTCAGGAAAGAAAGAAGAGAGACACTATGCTGTTTCTTCCGCTAGCCTTCCCTATGTATGAAGCGTGAACCTTTTTTCGGCAGTGGATCCGTTAATCAATACTTCCTTCTCAAGGCAATGGCCTTCTCACGTGCTAGGCACTCTCCTAGCCACTAGCCTTAAGCACTTTACCACAGTAAGAAAGAAGGATCACTTAGGGTCAGTCCGCTGGGCTTATATATATATGTATATAAATGCGCATTTGTCGTACTAATAACAATATATTATTATTCAGTATAGATAATTAACTCCACATAATAACTAAGGGTATCTACCACAATAACGTGTGTTTAGGTAGATTAAAAACATGAGTTTTCATAGTATAGTAGTAGATTTGGTATAGTAAACTCGTTCAACGGCTACTATCTGATATTGTGTCTACTATATAGATTTAGTATTATTATTTGTATTTGATGCATGATACATTTAAATTGTCCAATTTGTAAAAAAACCTCTACCGCCTGCTGCTGATCGACAACCTTTGTTCATGGCGCTCAATTGAAACAACGCTCAGACGCCTCTCATTGTTCCTCAATGTTAGACACAATGCTTGACATATGCTTGAACAGCTTTGAGTGATCCGTCTGAGTGTATAGACGCTCTTAGTAATGGCAGTGGTCGAACAGCCAACTGGACCGCGGGGTTGGCCCCTCACGAACAAAAGGTAGCACGAACGATGATGATCTGCTTCCTTTTGTGGTTTCGTTCAATTGCGGTCACACCCCACCCCCCACTCACCAGTCTCTTTCTCCCCTCAGCTGCTTTCTAAAGACGTTGCCCGGTAGACTGAGCAGTAGAATAGTCCCAGCCCGGCTATCCCACTGAATCTAGTTCCGCCACCGGAACGAGTGAGCATTAATTGCCAGCTTTTATACTATATTACGACCACTGCTGCTGCTTTTAGCAGGGCCACAGATCACGCAGATTACTGCCGGACTAACGTAGCCACAGTAATAGGCGCTAGGGCAGGCCGCCGCACCAAGCCTCATAGGATCTGCAAAGGAGCAACGAAAAGCAGCTGCACCGGCCGCCCACGTACGCTCTGCCGTCGATTTCTTCTCTGTTCCTAGGAAGGTACCGAAGGAGAGGTCGACGGAGAGAAGGATACAGGGGCAGCCACGCACGCAGACGAACAGGGTTACAGACAGGAAAGGGGGTAGCGGGAGAGAGATCCTATTCTGCGAACAGGCGTTGAAGCGCTGAAGACTATAGCGCAGTGATCTCGCTACCGACACCATTTATCGGTCAAATACTTGCGGTCTGGTATTTATAGTTATCGTAAAGTTACAAGTCAATCAGTTTTCCTAATTATACTTTGTCAGTACGTGATTATGATTTATGAATACTTTTTGCTGTATACTATTTGTACACTATGTAATACTATTATGATGTAATAGTAATTTCTGGTTAATGCATAATAATAATACAAAGGTTATTTGTCCAATGGGAGTTAGTGTACCACCTGCTTATATTTAAGTTCTTATTATCTATTATCTTCAATGACTGCAAAAAACGGGAAATGAAATAATCTATTTTCCGTTTTTTATTTAGATGCAAAATGGAGGGGGAGCACTAGCTTGATTTTGAGCGTTTACTATCAGATTTTTCAATTAATTGGTTAATCATCTATATATTTTTAAGCAAACTCTCAAATTTCTCAATGAATTAGGATCAAGCATTTGTGTATCTCCATTTGGCTAACGTTTCTAACGTGCCGACCATTTCTACATATATATATACGTATTGGCCCTCGGTGTAATTTGATCAGGACGTCTTTATGCAGCGCTCGGATCACTACTAAAACTTACTGAGCAGATTGAGAGATTTCAGATACGCAATGACGCCGCTGCTGCGTTAAGGTAAACTTAGCATTGCAGTGGCGTGTCCGCATAGCACAGGAAGCTCAGCATCTGAAGTACGAAGACGGCTACCGACAGCTATCCAGCCAGTCGCTCACCAGTCAAGAAAGCAGTTTTCACCCGTGGCACGTTCAGTAGCACGCCTCAACTGAGTGCAATGGGCAGACACACATGGCCACGTTCTTCACAGCACTTCTGCCGCAGCAACAGCGTGCGCCCTGCTGGGCAGCGCACCGTACCGCGTCCGTTTGCCCGTATTACAGACCAACTGCTTTTGCCGCTGTTTCTACAGCGACTGGTGGCGGGAAACGGGGAAGAAGTGGTGCACATTGCAATAGCGTAGCTCCGCTACAACCAACCGAAAGCCCGGCGTTGAGCCAGCGAGAAAAGTTCGATGCCATCCTCACGTCTGCATTGCCTTCAATATCCGCCAGACAACCGGGCTACAATTAGCTCTCGCCGGCTTGCCGGCCGGCCAGCAGCAAGAGTGGCCATAGACCATAAGACAGCCGGACCCGGGACGGACGGGTAGGCTCGGTAAAAACGCAAAGTAGCATAGATGGTGGTGCTCGCCACACGACGCATGTGGTACACTGTGCACTAACACCCTGTACCCACGCCCGGTCTGTCGAGAGTCTTCTTTTTTTCCTATCTCTTCCCCAGTAGCGTAACGATAGTTCAACTGTGATCATCGCCCGCTCGCTTGCTATCTTCCTAGCTCTGCTCAGCGTTCCAACTGCACGAGCAAGCAACAAGGCACTTCGCATGCCAACCACGTCGATCTTCCTCTCCGAGTGGAGTCACTCGGCTGACGAAACTGCTCGTGGTCGCGGTCATAGTGGTGGCGGTGCTACTGTTTGGCACGAGCAAGATAACTCGGTGGCGGCCAAGTGCGAGAATGGACTATCGGACCACTCAGGATGGCCTGCATCGCCAGGCTTACACTGGCGAAACCGACGGAGTGCAGCAAAGTGGGATCGAGTCCGCGTAGCCGGTCAAGTGATCAACCACTTAGCCACAAGGAGGTGGCGTTACTGGAGTAGCTAAGGCAGAAGCAAAGGCGGCGACCTCGACGGATTCGGAAATCAAAAATCTCTCTTGCGGAAGATTGGGTCGGGCGTTCTATCCGCACGGTATGGCGAGATCAATCCGTCTCGCATCCCCGCTACGCTCACGCACACACCTCAGCCTATTGCTATTTACCTCTTATCGACTGAGTCGGGAAATCTCAAACACCTCAGCGCCGTCTTGCGCCAGGTAGGTAGAGTTCTTCTTCGAACGTTCAAAAATCAGCCTTAACATGGTTGCCCCTTTAATGTTACGGGCACGACTAGTACTGAGCAGACAAAGTCGCTGATTGCAACAATCCGTCTCGTCCTGTTTGAGCAGGAGGTATCTTGTTCAAATCTTGGTCCTGAATCAGCAGGCGTCACAAGAGCAGCAGTAGCAAGAACGGCTTCGTCTGACCACTACGTTCGGTTCCCTGCTACGACGGCGGCGAAGTCCTCCTTAGCCATCTTCTGCTCCGAAATCGATAAGGGACGACTAAAATGGCCGATGTGCCAGATGTGCCACAGATGGGGTTCAAGACAATCCGGCAACGCAACTAAACACAAGCCACGAGACACTGGCTTCGTATCGTCGTTAAGCAGCGATAGTCAGGCCAGGCCCTAAGCCACGGGACGGGAATATAGGGACGCGTTACTTTACCGGGAGTGCAACGGGATGGTAGCCGGCCATCCAGAGACGAGATATGTACCGGGAACGGAGTCTTTTCTTTTTCACCCCCTTGCTCTCTCTCTTCAGCCATTTCAACCTAGACGAAGAAGGAAAGCTCTCAGGTGACTGGAGGGGAGACAAGCAGCAAATAAGGCGGGATAGAGCAAGGAAGACCTCGCTGATTGCATCCTTTGAGTCAAACGTTAAATCACTTATGAGTTCGGTAAGCAGCCGTATGTACTCTTACCCATATGTCCATCGTACTTAAGTCTTCTTTGAAAAGTCCTACGTAGTACTGGGATGATGTACTGCCTAGAGAGCGCAATGTTCATCGATATTGGATTTTTTACTCAGGGCGGCCAGGCTGCCTAGCTGGCTCAGTGAAATCTGATTGCAAATGTTTAATTCAAACAGCACTTCGGAGGAGCAGCCGCAGCATCGGAGGATCAATAGAGAGCCAGCAAGCGGGGCAAAGTCTTCAGGTGTAAACCCTTCAGGTCGCCTCTGCAAGCCGCCGGACGCTCCAACGAGCCGGCCAACAAACGGACGGCATCTTCAGAATTGCAGGTCAGAGAGAGGGTTGGAGGAAGGTCTTCACTTCCCACTTCTTACCGTTCATCATTCCATCATTCTTTGGCGCTGGCTTACAGTTCTCAGCGATAGAGCAACTCCGAAGACTCAGTGCCCGTCGCAGGATAGCAGAGGATAGAGCGTCACTGCAGCTGCACTCTTTGCCTCAACTGATGCAGCGGCTGCAGCAGGATGAACCAAAAGAGGCAGGACCCAAAACATCGAAAGGGATTCGGCGGGGCA